TCAGGAAGGCCTGGCAAGAGCAGTGTCTGGGGCTCCAGGTAGGGGTGCAGTGGGGTGCAGAAGGCAATGGGGTGCAGAACATGGTGGGGCACAGAAAGCAGTGGGGTGCAGAATGCAGTGGCAGGGTGCGGCCGTGGTGGATGACACCCTGTCCCCCAGCTTTGCTTTCTGGGAAAACTGCTCTTCACGGTTCCAGCAGCTTCTCGAAGGCCTGAAGATGCCGTGTGAATGCGCAGAGGTTGGGTGGGGAGGGACTTCCCAGTCCTGGGGCCACTTCCCACCGGGGTGGGAAGCCCCGGGCCCATCCTTGCTGGCCGAGGCCCACGCCAGCCCTGTCTGCTCACAGCTTGGTGGCCTGACCTGCTGCCCAGCTCCCCTGCAGACTGGGCTCACCTGGAGCGTGTTGGCGGCCGCGTCTCGTCAGCGGGCCTGAGTTGTGTCAGCAGGGCTGTGGTGTGTGAGCGGCAGGTGGCTGTGCGTGGTGCTGTCCGCCGTCTCCACCGAGTGTGTTCTTCCGGGCGGACACAGATTCTTCCCGTGTCCCTCAGGAATGCCAAGACTCACCTTGCAGGTATCACATGTGGGGAAAATGTCCCGTGCCAGGCCTTCCCACCGTGCGGACTGTGGCGTGTGTGACGTGACAGTCCCGGCTGGCTGCGGCTGCTCCATGTGAGGAGCGGACCTGGAATTCACCAGAGCCGCGCTCGTGACCCTGTGCCGTGCTGGGGTGAAGCGTGCGGTGCCAGGGCCTCCCGCTGCAGACGCGGCCCCCGGCGCGAGCTCACAGTGCGCCACTCACCCCATCCTCTGCCTTCCAAAGCCGTCTCCCCTCCCATTTTCTGAGCAGGGAAACTGAGGCTCCGAGAACCGAGGGGGGAAAGCCGCATCGGCGGCGGCAGGGGCCGGGGGTCGGCGGCGCAGCTACAGTTGAAACCTTGAGCTGAACCTCAGCCAAACCCCTCGGCCCCAGCTCCCACCCCTCCCTGGCCGTCCCTGCGCCCTTTCCACGGGGTGGACGCTCAGGTCCGCCTGGAGTTTCTGCGCCTGCCCAGGCCCCTTCTCTATCCGCCTCCCACCCAGGCATCACCAGGCCCTGAGACCCCGGCCCTGCCGTGAGCGCAGGTGGGGTTCAGACTTCAACCCCTTTTTGGAAAAGCAGGGCGGGGCTGGCCTCCGTGGGAGCAGCGCCAGGGAGGCTCCTGCTCGCCCAGCAACGCCCCGCGAAGGCCGTGACGGCCCCCAGAGGTGGGCAGGGCCCGAGGGTGCCCCTCGAGCGGCTGAGAGGCAGCTCTGTCCACATTTTAACTCTGTCTCTTGCGACGGTTATTTTCCAGAGAAAGGCTTCATTCAGTCAGGACTGCGAGACGCCGCGGTATTTGCTGCGTATGCGGCCTTTGCTGAGTTAGTAACATTATTAGATATTTAAGCAAATCCAAAGGGCCCCGTGCATTCCCTCTCGAGGAAGCACTCTCATCAATTCTGTTGCTTGGGTCATTTTTGTCCTGCTCGGCAGGAGAAAATCGCTCTCCCAGGGCACGGTTTATTCCCCTCAGCGAACCAAGATCCACCCAGTTTATTAGATTTGGGGCAAAGACTGTCACAGCTCAGGGATGTTTTGCAGTCAGGTCCCTCTAACCTGAGAACATTCTTTTAATCTGGGGAATTCCTATGGGAGCCGTAAAGACTCCCGCTCCTGTGGCATATTTCCCTCCTGAATGGAGCTTTCTGACGGGTGATTAACATTTTACCTTTCTGTCAATAAAGTTCTTTATGGGACATTTTTCTTGCTGCATTTTAATGTAATGTTCACTGCCCCAGATGGACGGGGGAGGAGACAAAAGGGCCATTTAAGGCCCTGATTCTAGAATGTTCTTATTATGCGTTGAACTGAATCAAGTCACCCCCAGGGGCCTTGCTGTGTGTGGACATAAGTGAGCTGGAGGTGGCTTTCACTGACCAAGGGGGAGCCGGCCACAGGCAGAGGGTCAGCATCACTCAGGAGTGAGTGTCCACTCAGCCCGGGGCCCTGTAGGTCTTTCAGAACAGCTGCTCCCAGTTCTTTGAGTTTTGGGCAATTCACTAGAAACTTCTCTTTCTGTGTTAATGTGAATGATGTAAATTTTTAGAAAGGGTCAAGTGCATAGATGCTGATATCAGATGCTCAGAGATGCAGCGAGATTTTTGAGGCTCCCCTGCCTCTTTCTGGTAACAGTTGGAGCAAAGATGATACATCTCTCCCTACTGGATTTCCCGCAGGTGCATTGAAACCACACGCTTCTAAGCTGTGCTTGTTGCTCATTCTCCGGGAGGAGGCCAACGTCATTCCCTCCCTGCCATTATTCTTCCAGGCCACAGGAAGTTCAGTCCCCCCAAGAGTCCCTCTCTCGATGGGAAGGGCCAGAGTGGCCAGGCTTGAGGGACTCCAGCTCCTGCACTACGCTCTTAGCCCAGCTGGGCCTGGGCAAGGCCTGGAGTCCACATCTGGGGACAGACTTGGTTTGGCCCTGTGGTTCCCAAACTTCGTGTACATTGGAAGCCCCTGGGGGCTTCAGACATAAATGAGGCTCCCCTCCCCTACTTCCCCACCCATAATCCCCATTTCAGATTCAGTAGGTCTGAGCTGGTGCCCAAGAACGTGAGCCTGAGTTCTCAGGTGACCCCAAGGTCACCAGGACAGGAACCCCACTTTGAGAGTCTCTGCTCTAGGGTGTGCTGGGGGAGCTCGGGGTGTCAGTGGGGCAGGGGCTCTTATCTAGCCTTGTCGGGAATGTGGGTTGAGTGACATCTAGGCTGTGCTCAGGCCCCCATGAGGGGCATTTGTGAGTTTGGGGGTGTCTGGATGTGGCCTGCACCTTGCTTCTTGCTGGGTGCCCTTCCCCGGCAGGCAGACATCACCGAGCCCACTCGGGGACAAGGGACTAGACGTTTGAAGCATTTCCATAACTTGCCCAAGCCCCAAAGCAGCCAGTCAGTTTGGAGAGACATCAGGCCCAGCTCTGCCCGATGTCTTGGCCCCTGGGCCCTGGGCCCTGGGCTCTGCTTCGGCCATGGCCCTTGCAATGACCCTGGGAGCTGAGACAGCGAGGGCCTGAGAGAGCGGCTTGCTCATACAGGCTGTTCCCACCAGACCCTGGGAGCCTCCGTCCACACGGGAGCTGTCAGGGCCCACCCGCTGGCTCCCCTCGCCTCACTGGGATGGCTGGATGGGTCTTCAGTGACCATAACACGGTCCCCCACAGAGGGACAGCGGAAACCCTGGCCCTGGGCCGCTTCTTCCCACTCCCCCTCACTGGTCCTCCCTCAGCAGAGAGAGGAAGTTTTCAGGTAAAAGTGTAGCAGGTGAAAGAGGCTGCCGCCCCGGATTCTGAGCCGGACGGTGCCCCCTTCTCGGCTGAGTTAATCAGAGGTCATTCGGGAGAAGCGGAAGAGCCCCTGGGAGAGAGATGGAGGGAGAAAGCAGGCCTTTCTGGTCCACGCCAGGACACAGTGCATTACAGAGAAGCAGAGAGAACTTGGTGCTTGTTAGGCAGCTGCTCTGCACAAGCATCCCCGCCGAGGAGAATTGCACAAGCATCCCCGCCTTGCAGGTTGCTCCGCACTGGTTGGTTCCCAGACTGACGTGGCCTTGCCGGGCTGGGCCGCCAGCGGCTGTTATCCACCCGTTGTTTCTCTTTGAAATAAAAGGTTGAGTGGTGTGAGGACCCCCCCCCCCCCACCGGCTGGCTCCCCGGCCGCGGCGGCATCAGTGAGAGCAGGACGGGAGGCGGCCACCTGGCTGCCGAGGCTGCGTGGGGCAGGCGTTTTCAGGAGCCTGGTCCAGGGGCGAGGCCTGGCCCGCGTCTATGCAGACCAGGGGCTTTGCGCATCCTGGGAGGGCCGGGCAGGAGATTCCAGTAGGACTTTCAAACGTGCCGCCAGCTCATGGCCTTGGGGGCCGCTGAATCCCACGGCCGGCGCAAGGACCGCGGAGGGCGGGTGTAAGGGATTGGCACCCCGGGGAGAAGCACCTGCTTTCACGCGCCATGTCCACTTTTAGCGCCATCTTTTCAAGGCATCACACAGGAAGGCCCATTTGTCCTGCCCAGCAGTGCGTCTCCCTTGATCCTATAAGAAGCTTCCGGAAGCTAGGTGGTGTTCCTCAGACGCTGCCCCGGTCATCCCGGCAGCTCAGCGATGACCCGGGTTCCCCTTAATGTTTGCCTTTTGGGACAGGTGTCTTCAATAATCAGCCAGGCAGGTGCCGGCTACCCTGACCAGCCTTCGTGCAGAGGCTGTGCTTCGCGGGAGGATGAAACGCTCTGGGCTCTGCGTCTCTGGCCAGGGCACGGACGAGCTCAGGGGTGCAGTTGGGGTTCCAGCGTGCTCAGGCTTTCTGGGCTGAGTTTTAGGCGCCCCCATGCCCAGAAGCCCTCGTCGGGCTGATTGCCTTTTGCTTTTCTCCGAGTGAGAAAGTGCACATCTTTTTTTCTTTTTCTTGTTGGTCTTAATACAGTGCCCAGCAGCACCTCAGCCCTACAGAGAGGGGTGGGCGAGCCCGTCCACCTCATGGGAGGAGGCAGAAGGATGGGTCGTCAGGTGCCTGGAGCTCATCTTCAAAAATGATGGAAAGCCCCACAAGCGGCCAGATGGCATTGTTGTTGACACGCTGGGGCCGCAGCAAGGCCCGTCCCGATGTGGAGGGTCAAGGACTCAACTAGCTGGTCTTTCAGTCATGTTCACCTAACCCTGCCCTGCCCACCCGCCCAGCGTAACCCGACAGCCCCGCTTCCCGACCTCGGCCCGCAGCGCTAGCCCCGTGCCTTGCGGCGCTTCCGGGGGCCAAAGGCCTCGCGCCGGGCCGGGGTGTGGAGCCCGCAGCTGCACGGAAGCCCCCGCTGCTCAGGACCGCGGCAGAGGTTTCTCTCCATGACAAACACCTATTAAGCAGTCGGCATAAACGCTTCTCTCACCACCTCTGACATCACCCTCGGGCAGGCAGACACAGAACAGCACTTGCTGAATTGCGTATGAAAATTATAGTTTTATTGTCTACACAACTGAAGGTTTAACTCAGACCCAGCTTCTGTAGGAGCTGGATAAAGGAGCGATTCTTCTCTTAGAACAAATAAGCACAGTACGCTATTGTAATCTAGGAAACAGGCACTATTTATGTATTGGGAAGCCTTGTTCTCAATAGGGCTAACAGTCCATGGCCCATGAGCCACTTTCAGCAGCTGGAGAGTCACAAACAAGGAGATGCTACAAGCAGCGGAGACAGACGATCAGAGACTAAGGGGGCCTCGCTCGACGCCCGGCAGCCCCCCGCTAGTTCAGCAAGCATGACTCGTAGGTGGGGACCATGTACTTGATGTTGATGAACGCGTCCTCCCCTCCGTAGCGCTCGAAGGCCTCCAGGGTCTCCTGGATCAGGTCGCCAATATTCTCCCGCTTCTGCTGGCTGTAGTCGATGCCGTCTCCCGAGTTAACTGGTTCATGCAAACACACAAAGAAGCCGGTTACTATCAGCTGTTCCCGAGACGCCCCACGCGGGCCTGTGTGCTGTGAGGGTGTGGGCCTGTCCCGTGAGTGCGGATCTGCAGCATCTTGGGAGGGTAATGGACATACAAACGGATGGCCACGTCCCTGTTGGAGCTGGCGAGAGCTGCTGTCCACTCTGGAGGTGACAGAGTGGGCGAGGGTTAGTCATGCCACAAGGCAGTTGGTGGGTCAGAGACCCCCCCCTCAGGCCCGGCGTTGCACAGAGTGTGCTTGGGACTGGACACCCTGACGGGGCACCTTCAGGACCCGCTGTCGGGGGTCGGGAGCCAGCCCAGGCCACGGAGGCAGAGCAGCAGCCCGCCGGGTCTCCACACCCGGGGCCAGGGAGCTCTCTGGCCCTGTCGCTTGGCCGTTTAGGCCCTGGAGGGTGCAGCACCAGGCCAGGGCAGGGCTGGGAGCAACGGCCTTTCCTGGGGTGGCTGCTCCTGCCTGGTCACCCGGCGTGTGGACGACAGCTGTCCCTTGTGGAGGGTTGTGCCCCTGCCAGTGTGAGAGAGTCCCCAGAACCGGGAGGGCTAGTCTGAGCCCTCACCCAGGCCAGGGGCTGCCTCAGGTTCCTGGGGTGGGACTTCCAGGCCTCGGTGGCCTGGGGTACCCTGCCTGAGGTACCCCACAAATGCCACCTCAACCATGCAGATAAGAAACACCCACTCCCACCTGCGGGGTGGGAGTCTGACTGAAGCAGGAGCCTTGGCCTCAATCCAGGAAATAAAACCCCGCGGTTTCCCTCTAATCACAGTCATCATGGCCCTCCTACTGCATTTGCCTGGGACTCCCAAGGCCGCCAGGTCCAGCCTCCGCGAGCCAGGCACCTCGGGGCCCGGCTCACAGTGACCAGCGCGGAGGGCCTGAGGGAGGCCGGGCCAGGGGGACAGAGGCGCAGAGGCCCAGGCAAGGGGAGCAGCTCAGCAGACCTTGCCAGAGGGGTGTGATTTAGTCACATTTCAAATGTTTAACTTGCTTGAAGGTGGACATAAGAAATGAGAAAAACGACGCTCTGAGTCTTTCCCTCCAGTTATCGGGGACAGGGTATCTCTGTCTTCTGTAGCCGAGAGAAGACAAGTTGCTATTCTGGTCATTTTCCAGGCGCGGGGACAGCAGGCAAAGTTTTCTGGAAGAGCGAGGGCAAGGCCGGCGAGGCCACTGTGACCACCAGGGCTGTTGCCTGCGCGCGGCGGGAGCCACGCTTTGCAGCAAAAGCTGGATTTCAGTTACAGTTTCAGAAAATCCAGCAACAGTTGGATATTTCGGGCAGTTAATGACTCCCAACCTCCAAGGACGGGCGTGAGAGAAGAAGCAGGGCCGGAGACTTCTGAACAAAGGATTCTCGCCATGTTACTTTTGAGCAAAAGATAAATCATAAAAACAGAAAAAGCCTTTATTTTGTAAAAATTTACTCAGCATTCTGGAAGAGAGGTAGCACAGATTGTCCTCGAGGGGAGGATGACGTGGTATAATCCACTTGGAGGAACTTTCCAGAATTCAGAGAGGAGGAGGTGGAACTCAGAGAGAAGGAGGACTGTGTGTTGATATTTGTTACAGGTGGGACAAAAGAGCCAAAGGGTCAGAAAAAGGGGCCGGGATTATGGGACCAGCCTGGGGCATGGTCTCTGCAGGATTGGTTCAGCTCCCCAGGATTCCGTCCAGGGGAGCAGCGCGGCCTACATCGCACAGGCCAGCGAACCCCCAGCACGCCCCCATCAGGCGCAAGGACATGCGGCTGGGAATGATGCTAAGTTCCACCAACCCTCCTCTGGTTCCTCTGGGACCGAGCTTCGTCAGTTAGTCACTAATAAACGGTGCCTGTGTTGGCGCATTAGTCAAAAGGTCAAGATCTGAACAGACCACGGATGGGCATATTTTCCCGATGGAGGCAGAGGGGTTTGGAAAGTCTTTGCACAATGGGAAGCTAACACACCCTGTTTTTTCCACCGCCTTCCAGAACACTATAAGGACAAGGAGCACGCTATTCCAATAATAACCCATTCTTACTTCTTAAAAGATATTTTACTGTAGGAGTTAGTAAACTATGTAGCTTTTTTGTTTTTTGACAGTGTATAAACCCCAATGATAAAAAGAGCAGAGCAGAACAGAAGCTGCTTATTCAGAAAATGAGTTGGAGTTGGGAATGTTTTGTGGCTGCAGAATGTGTATCCTTGGGGCGGAAAAAGGCTACACATGGAACAGATGCCTTATTTTTCAGGCTGCAGCGGTGATGGGGCCCAGATCAGTGTCTGACCCCACCAGGAGGCAGGTGACGACGTGGTCTCAACTCAACACTGCTGCGTGTCAGTGTCATGGAGCATCTGAACTTGAGATGACTAACTTGAGCTCCCTGTTTTTAGACACATATGATGTTGTTGGAAAATATGCTTATGAGAATAGGATGCTTAAAAAAACCAGCTGGTTATTTACAATTGTCAATTATGATTAGGAAGATGACATTTCGGTTTAGGGAGTGAGGAATCTATTTTATGTCCAGTCGCTGGAGAGCTACATTGATGGTGGAAAAGATATGTTTTATTTATAACCAAGCAAACAGCACAGAGCAGAGGTTTAAAGCAGACTTTGCATTTCTAAAGGGATAATGTGCAAGCAGAGGACGACATGGATTTCCTTTCTCCTCCTGGAGACTCCCTCCTGCAGCAGACATGTCCCTGCTGCTGGGAAGCTGCTCCTGGGCAAGTGAGTTTAAATGCATCGTTGTACTGCTTGTTGATGTGGGAGGGGTCTCTTCAAGCATCCATATGCTCTACTTCTAGCTAAGCCTCTGTAGAACTGTCCCCGTCTGGATGCTTCCGCTTCTAGACGCCATTTTGGTCAGGATGCATGTCCAACATGACCTCCCTTTGCGGTGGCCCCAGGGACACGTGGTGTTCAGGAGCTGAGGCCCTGCCTGGGAGTTGGCTGTGACCAGGCACCAGACTGGGACACACATTTCGCCCCTGGAATTGCGAGGGGTTGAGACAAGCCGGCACATGGCATCTGAGAGACATGAAGAGCAGCAGCCGAGGGCGTGGCGGTGGACGGGCAGGCCAGGTCAACACGGATGTTTCTGAATCCAGTGCCTTCTGGTAGAGTCTTAAATAGACAGATGTCCTTAAGCAACGCACAACGAGCGATTTAAGAACGGAAGGACTCTGTTGGGCGTCCGCGAGAGGAAACAAGATGCTCGGTCCAACTGCACGAGGCATCACGTTCTGCCGAGTTGATGAAACCTCCCTGCACCGCTGTGACGACTTGGGGAGTAAGCGGGCATGATTTCAGGGGGAGGCCTCTGTTAGTGCTGAGATCTCTAGAGGAACAGAGGCGGTCCCTGGGGGCGAGCATCTGCCCCCCTCCACCTGCTGCCCCAAAACTACCCCTGAATTGGTGTTTGTAGAGGCTGAGGAGTCAATATTTTTAAAATCATTTTTCTTAAATTAAGGTACCCTTGGGGTGTAGCGCTGTGTGTAATTTAGGGCTTAGGTTTGAGCCTCTTCAGGTCTGTGTCACCACACTCACCACCGATACACCCATAGCCTCCGCCCCAGTCCAGGGCGCGTCTCCCCTTCACCCCCAAACTCCCCTTTGGGAGCCTCAGTCCTGCAGTTGGATCCTGAGGGGTTGATTTGGTTTAGTTCTGTCTGTCCCTCTGCCTTTTCCCTTTATATCCCACATATGAGTGAAATTACAGTGTTTTCTTTCTGACTCACTTTGCTGAGCATGGTCCCTTCCAATTCCATCCACGTTGTCACAAATAGCAAGACTCCATCTTCCCTGCGGCCGTGGGCCACTCCGTTGTGCCAACCACAGACCGGTGCACGCGGCCTGGGCGCTCAGGCCGCCCCAGCAACCTGGCACTGTGCAGCGTGCACATGAGCACGGGGGCAGCCGAATGAAGGGTTTTGTATTCTCTGGGCAGGCCCTGAGAGTGGAATTGCTGGGCCATCTGGCAGATCTATTTTTAGAAACCTCCACACTGTTTTTCCATGGGGGCTTGGCCAGCCTACACCCCACTCCGGGCACCCAAGCCCTTCTCTGCACATCCTTGCCAGCTCTGGTTTCTGGTCTTTTCAATGTGGACCCGTCCCACGCATGTGTGGGGGAGTCCCATACCAACTTCACTCCCCTGTGAGAAGTGGGGGGCCACTTGGAGAAAATGCTAACTTGGGAAACCTGAATACGTCTCCTGAGTGAGTGAGGAAGCCATGGGCAGGGACCCACATGGAGCCCCAGTGTTGTCTTGGACGCCCCTCACACTGACGGTCACGTCTGAAGCTCCAGTTCCGTGATGCCAGGGGCACCTCTGAAGTGTCCAGCAGCACTTTTAAGTAATTGCAGGAACCAGCAAGTATCTCAAATAAAAAGATGATTAACCTGACAGAGCCAGTCACCATAGCCTGTGGCAGCACACACAGGGAGCCGGGCAGCCAGTGTCCATGAGCCTCAGGCTGATACAGACACCGCCGTGGCCCACAGCTGTGACAGCAACTGCTGCAGGGTCAGGCCTGGCTGCACCCGCCTAGGCTGCTGCCCTCTCTGGCCCAGTGGGGGAGGGTGTGATGTGCTGCGGGCATGGCCTCCGTGCCTCTGGGTGTCTGAGTGGAAACCGGGGCCAAGCCCAGTCCACAGCCCGCCTGGCCTTCGCCTCCACCATCCCCCAGCGGCTTGCAGCGAGCTGCATCTTCCCCGTGGCCGGGTGAGAAGACTGGCACGCCAGGGAGGCCAGGGAGCATCCCTGAGGCAGCACGCAGTGGAAGTCAAGACAGACAGGTGCCAAGAGCAGAACCACACTTTTCCTTTCTGGATCAGAAATGGCTTTTTTTTTGTTTTGTTTTGTTTCTCAAGAGTGTCAAAGCCCAACCTGTCAGCACCTGCAGCAGGTGGCATCAGCCTCTGCCAGGGCCCACTCCTTCTCCTGGCGGGCAGTGACGTATCGCCAGCA